TTGGTCCAGAAACCTTTTCATCACTGAGGGTTTCCAAGTCAGATGCAGCTTTCATCGCTGACCTGTGGATCTCTTGAATACCTCTGTCTGCCGATCCTGATGTCCATTCAGTTGTTTTTCAGACGGCTGTTTTCTTAACAATAAAAATAGCTCAGTTTGGGTTGAAATTGTCTGATAAACCGGTTTAAATTGACATTTGGATTCCAGTGTATCCATCTCAGTTTGTGTTGATGTTGTTTGGTAAACTGGTTTTATTTGTGACCCGGTATCTTGTACATTTATCTCTGTTTGTACCGAAGCAGATTGGTAGACAGGTTTCTGCTGTGAGGTGTCCTGTGAATCCGCTTGAATTGCAACAGAAACCATTGACTTCTTCCTTTGTCTTCTTTCTGAGAGGATTTTCCTCATCAGATCTTTCTGCTCTTTAAGTTTAGCGTTTAGTTTATTTACATCGAACATGTCTTCAAGCTGTTTCATTAAATATGTCTGAACTTCGATATGTTCCAATTCAGACTCCTTACATTTGGCTTGACACGTACACTTTGCTTGACTTTTCTTTTCAGGAGAGTGGGGCAAATTTTGAATTTCAGTAAAACCCTCTACTTGAACTTTTTCAGATGTTTGATCAACAGGAACCTCAGTTAAGTTCTCTGTCTGGATGTTGTCCTTGGTTTTACCCAGAGATGGATGTTTCTCCCCTTTTTGATCCAGTGTCTCCTGTGGTTTCAAGATGGATTCCTCTTTGGTGACCAGCTGTGTTGCAGTGTTCTTAGAATAACTTTCCTTTTTCAAGGAAGCTACTTCATCACGTTCTTCGGCCGGCATTGAAACATTTTTGGTTTCAATATTCTCAGTAAAAAAACTTACATCTATGCAAGGTTCTGAGTTGGGGAGCATTTTCCACAATGTCTTTTTTCCGCTGCCGGGCAAAGCTCCCTGATAATTTTGTTTTACCGGCAGAGGACCGTCATCGATGTCACTGTTTTCAGTAAAAAACATCAGATTGATGCAAGCATCTGACTGGGGGAAAGATTTCCACAACAGTCTTTTTGATGCGCTTAGTTTTTGACTGTTTTTCCCCTTTCTGGTCCACTTTCTTCTGTGTTTCTGTAACGGTTTTCTTTTCGGTGACCGGCTCTGTTGTAAAACTCACAAGTTCCTCTTTGCAAATGTCCGTCTTAGAGGAATCCTCCTGATCACTGTCCTCTTCAGGCAGAGAAGTGTCCTGCTTGATAACATTTTCAGTGCTGGACTTAGAGGACTCTCCCTTCTCTGGTGTTTCCTTCAGTACGCAGATCGATTCCTGTTCGGTAACCAGTGAATCATCTTCCTTTCCAGTACTTTCAGCTCAAGTCCTTAGATCAGCGGAGGCATGTTTCTCCAACCAGATGTGAAACGGTATCATTTTCTTCTTGTTACGCCTCGTCTTTGGTGGCTGTTCCTCAGACTTAGCGGGCTGCTCCTTCTCTGCTATGTCGACTGTCTCCTGCACTCCAGCGATGGACTCCTCTACACTGACCTGTGAATCGTTCTGCTTTTCGATATTAGCTGCAGAAATCTCTTGGTCAGCAGGGACGTGTTCCTCCGACCAGGTTTGAAATGGTACCTCGTTCTTCTCATTGGACTCACTATCTGGTGGCTGTCCGTCCCCTTTTTGATCAACTGTCTCCAGTGTTTTGGCGCTCGATTCATTTTCAGTCACCAATGAAGAGTCCTGCTGTTTGATACTTTCAGCAGACATCTTTAGCTCCTCAGCTTCGTGCAGCACCCACCAGACTGCAAATGACACTTTCTTCTTCCTGTGCTTGGGTGGTTTGGGTGGCTGTACTTCCCTCTCAGCAATGTTGTTGGATGCAACTTCTTTGACTCTTGGCTGGTCGGACTGCATTGTAACCTTTGCTTGTTTAATAGTTCTAAGATAAATCACTTCTCTAAAACTCTGTAAAGATCTCATGTTAAGTTTGATGTAAATTTCCAAAAGAAATGTACATCAAACAAAGTTGAAAATCCTACTGCGAACACACACACACGCAGTTTTTGTGAAAACAAAACAAAATAATAAATAAATAAAAAAACTAAAAAAAAACGAGTCCAGTCCAGTCCCACTCTGCTGCATTCGGAGGATCTCATTTCCCATGGAAGTCGTTAAGAAACACTCCCTCTAAAGAGACAAAACTCCATTAGCAGACAGAGACGTTCTCACTGAACTGAAATGTAAAATCTGTTCACTTTTGTCATAGATTCTCTACCGCGTTTCAGTCTACCTGAATGCCATCTTAAAATCCCCACCCAATAAACGAGAGCTCTTTTGCCTGCTCTCTTTTGCCGCAGACAAGTGCATGTGCATGACTGACTGCTGTCGTGGAACATTAAGTGCTGATTTACTGTATTATAGATTCAGAGATGATGCCTCCTGCTGTCCCGCCACCTGTTCCGTCAGCCGACAGCAGCGTCGCTACGCGCGCATCCACGGATCGTTTAGCAGGGCGCAGCACTTGAAAACACAAACACATCCCCATTAACCAGTCAAAGACCACCGCCTGCAGCCCGAAAGCACACAACCGGCTGATTCTACATCACAAGCTGCTCACGGTCTAAGTGGATGAAGAGACTGTCATCCCGAAGCTCTGGCCATCATCCTCTCTTGACTCCTCCATGTTTGACAGTGATGAAGCACATCTCCTGGTTGTTTTCATGTCTCCTTTGTGAAAAATGAAGCTATCAGTTGTAGAAGAAGAAGAGGAACAGCAGCGCTGGGTGTCATCTGAGACTCCAATGCAGAAAAACCTCCACCTCTCTTCCTACCTGTACCGACCTTAAAAGAACAATCCATCTTGATCAGAGGAGGAGCCACACTGCGCTGGCACCAGATGCCGTTCTTATACATGGAAGAGACGGTTTCATCACTTCATGAGCAAATGAGCCAGAAAGGGATCGGTGGAAGAAAAAAAAAAAAAAATTCAAAACAGTCATTCATCCTGTCACGCCAAAATAAACACACAGTCATTTGTCACTTGTTTATTTCCTACAGGTTCAATGTCGGTGAGCTGTTTCTCACCCTCCACTCCCGTACTTCTTCCCCCCTCTTCCTGCTGCCATTTGTCTTGCACCATGTTTCATTATGCTCCAGCAGATCTTTCCTTCCTGACCTGTCGTCCTGCGCTCCAGGGTTGTTGACTCATGCAGCCCGAGTTGATGCCCCTGTTCTTTCTGGACACGCATTTCTTGGTATCATTTCGAAGCTGACATGTGCAAAGTTTGCAGAGTACACTGCTCAGTTCAAGCAGAAGCTCTGCAGCCTGTCCAAAGACATTTGAATCACATCCCAACCTCTTCACCCGTACAGTCTCCAAACATTTCTCGGTTGCTGTTTCATTCCGGACAAACTGTAAATGTATGAAATATTGCTTAATAGGTTGTTTAGTCAAAGTGATATTTCTCATAAACATCAGATCCTCAGCACAGCATGAGCTTTCTAAAACTCCACTGGGCTCATGTCTTCGCTTTTCTCGTTGTCTCCACAGATTTAAGCAGTCATGTACGATGCGACAAGGGTGCCGTCACCTAAGGATGGTGTAAACGCAGTGGCCCAACCTGTGGTCCCTGGAACTGAACCTGGAACAGCGGCAGGTTCGGGAGGGCCAGCGGCCACGGCGGTGCTGCAGGCCAAAACCGAGGAGGGCCAGGCGGGTACAGAGGAGGACGAGGAGCTGAAACTGGAGCCTGTCCTGGTGAAGAAGCCGCACAGAGAGATTTTGGACCACGAGCGGAAGAGGAGGGTGGAGCTGAAATGTATGGAGCTCCAAGAAATGATGGAGGAGCAGGGGTGAGTAGATGAGTCCTTTTAGAAGTTGCCAACACTGTTAACAGTGAAGATTTCTGTCAATGTTATGCAGAACTGGTGCTGTAGGAGGTTTTCAAAACAAACCAAAAAAAATAAAAAATAAGGTGAAGCAGCTGTAGTGACATAATTCTCTTGTCTGAAATACACTCACTAATTTATTTGTGTTAAAAATTGCCATCCAAAATTGTACTGTGGGATTTAGGTTAGATTGCCAACCAGCAGCCTTCAGGTTCTTAGTCATTTCCCGTAACTAAATAGTTTTTATGATCCTAGCTGCAATGCAAATTTACATAATTGTTTTGCGCAGGATTTATGAACATCAGGCATTGATCTATAAATGCATGGCAATGCTCATAAACCATGTTGCAAATGGTGTTCATAAATTGAGTAGAAAACGGGAGACTGCTGCTTTTTGCAATGTATAACGCAGCATTTTTAACAATGACTGTAATTTTTTTTTAAGTATGTACATAACAAAAGGAGGCCATTATGGGCCAAATGTGCCAGAAGATACTTCCTGTTTTGTTTATCAATCACCAAATAACCTATTCTTGTAAACAGATAAAAACCACTACATTACCACTACATTTTTTTTTATTTGTAAGAAACTTTTGAAATTTATTTTCACAATTACAGTGCGCTCCAGTGAAAACCATGAGCAGACAGAGAACAGCTCCCATTAATATGAGCAATGTAACCACCAAAGAATCAAATGAAACATTTAGAAACTTGACACATGACACCATCAGTGTCACGTTAGTTTGTCCTNTCCATTAAGTTAAAACAGGTCAAGCCTCGGCCCATATTTGACCCAGAACCGGGTCAGCAAATAATTGGTTTATTTTGATAAATAGCTCTTGGTTTCCAGGATGGTATCAGTGGATAGAGCGTCCAGATTTGAACTATGTGGAAAATGCAGATTAGTCGGGTTTGCAGAACCATTTATCTGTCCCAGACTGTGTGTGGTGCTGGCTGTGCTTGGAGCTCTCCTTCGTGCTCTGCGTTTCTGTGTTTTACGTGAACTTTATTGGAAGAAGTCCCGTATTACTCACCAATCAGAGGACGTCGGATGTGGGAGTCTTGCTTCTTGAGAAATGAAAGTGTCAGCGTTTTGCTTCACTGCATACGCGAAGGTAAAAAAAGAAAAAAGAAGGGGGGGTAGCTCTGCAGAGCTGTGAAAAACTTATTAGCAACACATTTGGGAATTATGTCTTCCTTTATTCTCTGTGTACTGCCTTTTGTGTCCCTCTCCCCCTCCCCATCCCACCTCGCCTGGTTATGAATAATAAATGGAAAAATACACTTTCATGCTATTTTTACCCTCAACTGTTTTAATTTTCTAAAGAAATTTATTTCTGAAGCATCTACCAGAAGGTCAGCTTTAAAAACTTTTCAAATGACAGGAGAAAAAAAAAAAAAAAAAAAAGATCAAATGGAAACTCACATAGAAAGCTTCGTGTGCGAACCTCATATCCAGAACCACTGGATATGTGTTCCTTTTAAAACTCACGACTTTGAACTTCACATTAAATATATGTCACACGTCGCGCAATCAGCCTCATGAAATGACTCAAAACAATAAGCTTTGATGTGACTAAGTTTTTGCTCCTCTCCCTCCTCCTGTCCACTATGGGGTTTTTTTTTTAAATCTCCTTTGCTCTGCATTGTGCTTTTTACACCCCCCACGGGCAACAATGGCGGTAAACAGAACCAAATAGGCGACGTTTCATGTTTGAAGTGATCAAAAGTTCACGTAAGTTCATACAGAAGCTGCTTCTTTTGTGGTGGAGCGATAAGGACGATCTGAGCGAGCCTCAGGTGACGATATCGAGCCGTATCGTCGTCCTCAAACTTAATAAAGACGTGCAAAACCGTTCAAATAAATCATAGCTTACCTTTACGTTAAATATTCTGAAAAATCCAGCTTTTTATTTGAATAAATTTGTTCAGTGGTAGGAAAAAAAAATCCAAGATGAAACAAAAATTACCACATCTACCAATTTTTTATAAGTAAAGGGCAGATTAAGTGGCATTTTAAATTGCTTGGAGTTTCTGTAAACTACTACATATCACATGACGAGACCAGTTTCTTCACTGGCCTCCAAACTGGACGAGGATCTGTATGTATCTTGAACTGCAACAGAAAGTAGCGCTGTGGGGTTACGGGTTGCTATGGTTGTCTCCATAGCAACCAATAGACACGGTCAGGCAGAGTTTTGGAATAACTGCTTTTTTTTTTTTGTCATACCATCACAAATGCAAATGTTTGAATTCTTCTAAACAGGGACTTGGACTGTCTGCTTTGGTCAGATGAGACTAAAAGTCAAACTTTTCAGGAAACAAACGTGTGGAAAAACCATCTCATGCTCACTCTGGACAGGCCACAACGGCTCTTAAAAACTCTGACTAGAAATGGTAAACGGCTGAAGTTTTATAACTAGATAATAAATAACAAATCCAGATTTTAGTAATGTTTCAGTCATTTCTTAGACCTGTTTTGTTGTTATTAGGATGGAAACTCTGTGCAAATAACATCTGACATAAGAAAACGTAGCCGTCAGCCTTACGTTTCTCTTGGATTCTCATTTGTTGGATTCTGGGATTGTCTGATATGTCTGATAAACCTCTGGGAAAGCCAGATTTTATTGCTCTCCAAGGTAAGGTACGCCAGATATCAGTGGTGGAGAAAGTACTCAAAAAATGTACTTAAGTAAAAGTACAAATAC